GTATCTATATAACCTAAACCCTATGTTTCTGTTGGTTGTATTATAATCGTGTTTCTATTTGCAATGTTATGTTTGGTTAAATCTATTTGACATTGAGTTTTTATTGTCTCATTTAATATTGTTCTGCTCTTTTTAAACCTTATATCACGTAAAAGATTTGTACGATTTTAAACTATCCTTCGGATTATACTTATAAACAAAATTTTCAAGTTCTAATCCAAATAACAACAAAAAAATTATCATTGAAATTAAGTTCTATTTTCATTTTGTAGCACTGGGTCGATACCGCTTCTGCATGCAATTAATGCCTAGGGTATCATCAGCTAGGTAATCTCAACTCCCTCAGGCAAAATTGACTATATATGAATATGGCTTTTCGTTTTACATCTCTTTTTGTCATACACTTCTTCATGAGTTTCAGTTCATAAACATCATTGGCTTTTAATCTTTTGGTTTGAGCGTCCCCGATGAAGGTAAATCCAGAAAAGCGCTTTGGAGGCATACATTTTATAAAGTATTATTTTCCTTTATTTTCAGCTATCCTTTTATTTCTGTTGGTTGTCTTAACAACGTGTTTCTATTTGCAATGGTATTGTTGTTTAAATCTATTTGACATTTAGTTTTTATTGTCTCATTTGATAGTTTCATCTTCTTATTTTCTCTTTATAACACCAGAAAGATGTTCAAATTTTTTCACCAGCCCTCGTTTAATTCTGAAATAATTATTTCAGGTATCTTTCTTGAACTCTAATCCATATAATAACATATTTTGTTTTAATTCATTTGACATATGGTTTTGGACTGTCTCATTAGTATTCCCCCTTCTTAATCCTGATATCACTTTAAAGAGGCTTATAAAATTTAACTACCCTTTGGTTAATTATTAAAAAAAAAATTCAAGTTCTAATCCATATAATAACATTTTTTTTTCAAATTAAGTTCTATTTTCATTGTCTAGATCTGTGTCAATACCGTTAATGAAAGACTGTTATTGCCGATGGCATCATCTGTTTAGAAGTCAGTGCTTCAGTACTGACATGATTTATATTATACTTCTTTTTTATAAATTCTTCTTTATAAACTTAGATATTATTAAAAAAAACAAAGGTTCCAACTTCCTCAGGCAAAGTTGACCATATTTAGATACGGCCTTTTTTTCATATCGGTCGCACACTGAAATAAAAAAAGTTTTAATATTTTGAAATTTCAAATTCATTGTTATCAGGTTTGGTATTTTCTGAATTACATATTATCTAGTTTGCAGCTATAATAAAAATACAAGTATCTAACTATGGAACTATTTGTAAATGTATTCTCGTCCTGAATATGGATGAAATATTTGTCACTGGATGTTAGGCAAACAACTTAAATAATTATTCAAAATATCACAATTCTGTTAACTTATAACTTGCACGAGCAACACGAAGGTTGCCACATGTGGAGCAGGATCTGCTAACCCTTCCGGAGCACCTGCGATCACCCCCAGTTTTGGTGGGTCTTTAGTTTTCTATGTTGTGTTTTGTGTACTATTGTTTGTCTGTTGGTCTTTTTCTTTTATTGCCATGGTGTTGTCAGTTTATTTTCGACTTATGTGTTTGAATGTCCCTCTGGTTTCTTTCGCCTCTCTTTTATACCCGGTATAAATATTTATATTTGAAATGGTTGTCCTTATGAATTAATTCAGAGTTGTACATTTAATGATCCCCCCTCTTATATCAAAACAATAATTTTTATTATTTCTGTTACATTCAGAAATAAAACCTGTCCATTTTGCATTATCATTCTGACAGATTGCGTGATATATCAAAGCAATAAAATGATTCTATAACTACGTATGACAGCTTCACTAATAAACAGAAGCTGAATAAATTCATACACTGCGTCATCTTTACAAAAAAAACATAAATTATTATCAACTCTAGAAGCAGAGAACAGCACGCGCTTTATTTCAATTAAAAAATAATACACAAATGTTTTATAGCTTCGGTTGAATTTCATCGCAGCTATTCCCGACCAAGAGGGACCTCGGTGGCCGACTGGTCCAAGTAGTTCATCGATATTTGATAAGCAATTTCATTAAAATGATATAATTTTCAGTATCCTCTTTCTTGAAGCGATTTATATTTTCAAGAAACAATATTTGTCACTAAACTAAGCTTTGGTCATGTTAAAAATTGTTAAAATCATTGAATTTATCATATGTCATTTAAGATGAAAAAAATACTTGTTGAAAAGAAGGACAAGTCCTTTGAATATTATAAAATTATATGCCATAAACAGGCGAGTGTAGGAAATTCAGATTACATACATCGCTAGAACATCATGGTGAAAAAAATATTCATAATTCTTGAAAGATGTATTTTCTGCATCCGGTTTTTCAAATGTTATGGTTCTGTGCAAATCAAGCTTTTGATAAGTACAGATTTTTTTTTGAGAACATGCAACACTGATCATAATGGAAACTTTTTTTTTATATAAAGTTTTCCTTTCAGCAGAATGCATAATCTCAGGCGTCCAGGCAAACATAGAAAACTGAATGTTGATTTAGCCGTTTCAGAATATCTTAAAGAGTATGACTGAGTATGAGTACATGTAATTGCATTGTTCAAATCCCATATTGAAATTACGTAACGGCATTGGTTGAATTTTCGTTGTTATGGACGTGTTTAACCAATAACAACGTTTTGGTGTACGCCTTTGAAAATATTACCCAGAATCCATTAGATTCTGAAACGATGCAGTGTGTATTAAACATTGTCGTGTTTTTAGAGGTTTTATTGATTGTCACATGTAATATTACTTCTTCACTGAAAGTTCTTTGAAAAAAAAAAAATTAATTATAAGGTAAACGAAAAAATATGCAAATTATTTTTAATTAGTTATAGGATGAAGACAAAAACAACACACTTAACTTTGTAAAACTGTAATTGTTTGCTAAAATATCAGAATTTTTTTTTATAGATCTGGCAATGTGTACACAAATCAAATCATTTCACTGGTCGCTTTTTACACAAGCAATGACGTGGACATTTTTTTCTGTCAGATGGAATATTCATTATGACAAAATCCGTCAAGGTTTAAGCACAAAATATCCAATAATGTTTGATAATAAAACTTAAAGAATTGGCAATCTTGAACCCAAGAAAACGTTAATTCTTGATTATTTCCGACAACCTCAATTTTCACAAACTTTTAATACTTTCAAAGAAATTGTTTGTCAGTTGTTATTTGTATTCAAAGCATTCATTATAGAAAATGTCATTGACTTAAATACAAAAAATAAATTGCACCGTGTAGGTCTTGCTTGTCTTTTAACGATGTATATATTAAGTTTTTTTCTTTCTCGTTGATGGAATAAATCCATTTATACGCCACGGGTGATGTAAAAAAATGAGCAAATTAATTCATTTCACAGCTGCACTTGAACTTTAGACAATGTTAATCGTTACGATTTACAGTTCTGTATGGAGATTCAGTTTTATTTATATTAGTAATGTAAATGGAAGAAATTACCTTTTTTTTACTAAAAATATCTATCAACCAAAAAGACCAAATGACAAAGATGTGTGCAACTAATGGATACCGTACGACCTTTAACAATGATCAAAATCCATTCTGTAAAGTAAGCTAAAAAAGGCCCTCATAATGACAAAATATTAAACAACTTAAACAAAAAAACCAGCAGCCTGATTCATGCTAAAACAATAAATGAAAATCAACAATGGAAAACTGCATCAACGACAACCACTGGATTTCCTGCTTGGGACGGGTACATAAAGATTGGGACGGGATTAAACATTTGTGAGCGGTTAACCCTGGCAGGGTGTAACAGTAGAACAATTTTAAAAATAAATAGTTAAAATCAGATGAAAATGATAAGACACAAACTTTCGACCTAAGAGTATTCGCAATTACTGATAGAAAGTTCAAAGCCCAATTTCAACTAATATATAAGCCATGTTATACTTTAAATTGCTTAGTTTCCATTTCAATATCACTGCATGTACTTGACTGCAGGTACTTAGGATCAAAAGTCGTTATACTTGAGAAAACTATATGTCAACTGTCAAAATGAAATAGTTCAAACCACAAGACATTCTTATCCATTGATATCTATCAGACCAAAAGCTAGAAAAATATGGGAAATGAAGATAACAACATGTTGACAGTAATTTGTCAATCATTAGAGGTTTTAAATAAAAATAGAAATACAATCATTTAAGTTAGATCACTGTGTATAGAGTTATAAATATAGATCAGAAATGCATTTACAGTGTTTACATTTAATTAATAATGATGCTACAGAGAGGTGTGCTGTCCAGTAAAGGGTTCAGAAAAAGAAACAATGGGTCATATTATATTATAATATTTTTATTATTACAAACTACTTTTTCATTTACTTTGATATTAGATGTTAATCAATTAAATCAAAAGTAATCATGTTATAATTTGTTTAACCTATTTTTATTTTACTTATATGTTATGTTTGAAAAAACATATTGTAATTATTCAACTCATTTTGGGCGTCGTGATTGGCAAATAAAGTATTTGTTTGTTTGTTTTGTGAAAAGCAATAACACCCCTAAACTCTTTTAAAGGTTAATTAACCTTTGTGTCGACACATCGTCTTTCGCAATTTTATCCCTATAATCATAATGGACATTCACCTCTATGTAGCCTTTTGTGTTGATGCGGCGTAATTCAAACACCAATCAATCAATCAATCAAAATAGACAAAAACAACATCAGGGATTTCTACAATTGCTTGTGGTGAAGCGAAGATTAACGTTGTTTGGCAGCATTCACAGATTCTATCGCATTTTAGCTAAATTTATCCTCCCAAGCGTTAGACTATTCGTCAATATATATATATAGATGTAAAAGACTATGGAGACCAAACCGATATTCCATCATCGCCTGAACTATCAGGTTAATCTGTTTGTATCAAGACTCGTTATCACTGCAACAATATAAACCAATATTTACGTACAACTTCTTATTCCTGAATCAAGCAATCAGGTATCAAGCATTGGAAACGTATGCTGTTACGATAAAATTATTTTTGCAAATTATTGGAAAAATTAACACTGTTGCTTCGTTGGTTGGTTTTTACAACGGAATTTATTATATCTTAATCTAGTACGGTAAGAGTTTATTTTATTTTTATTTGCTTTTTTAAATAGCTCTACTTAATCAAAAGGACAGTTTGAGCAATTGTCATCACTTTTGCGTCCGTCATTCGCAAACTATATTTTATTTTCTCTTTTAAAATGCTATTTTGCAACTTCAGTAAAATCTATATAAATGTCCGTTGTGAGTCCCGAGACGGCCATCAATCAATCAATTGATTGGCTGTGACATTTTAATGTTTCTTACAAGTACTGTTGCTTTCCACACTGTCACTTCAAACTGAGACGGGATTTTGTTTTGATAACATATTTTTTAAGAAACTTCTTTGCAGCATCTCTGAATTTGAGCAATTTTGCAAGTACTTTGAAGTTAAAGGAACAATATAAAATGCTATTGAACATTATCAGGAAAAGAAATTTAAGTGTTTTTCTTTCTTCTTTTTTCTTTCAGTTTGTGTTTTTTGCTCTTTGTGTGCGTGGATTTTTTGGGCAATCCCTTTAAAAGAATATTCTTTTAAACATATATTTCCTTTAAAGTAAAGATAGTTCATGTCTTGAAACGATTTTCAATTAAACAACATTTTTTTAAACAAATACATCGAAGGAAAAAACAAAAATATAGAATGCCGCTATATGACACATCTATCTTTTTAAAATTTAGTTGATATACGTTCCAATATAATTCTGTCGTATGATTTTTACCATTTTCAAGTTAAGAGATAGTTAGAATTATATTAACAGTTTTTTTTTTCTATACATATTCAAATGATAAGAATCAGGCTTTTATATCTCTGTTAAAGAGTGACCTTGTGGTTCTTTCCTTTTTAAAAAAAATCAAACTGAAAAAGCATGTAGTATCACTATACAAATAGTATAACTATACCATTGAAAATTCACATTTTGATATTAAAGCAAATAGAACACTGCCATTTGATATAACAACTTTTCAACACAATAACACAATAATACAAAACAAGAATAATACATTGTATCATAGATGGTCGAAATGTCGAAATAAGCTTCTTAGTTTACTTCTGGTCTTTAGTTTCAGTGTTGCGTTTTAATTGTCTTTCATCCTACTTATTGTCTTTCCTGGTGCTTCTTGTGGTCATAGGTTTCTCTGTTTTTCTTCAACTTATGATTTTTTTTATTGACATCCTGGTATCTTCTCCATCTTTGTACTACATTTGATGAAGATTAATGAAGAAATACGATTCTATCTGCTTGAATTTTATTTTGTAAGAGTCAAATCTATGTCCGACGTCATATCTTTGTTCTTTCCTCAGATCTGTGACCTGTGACGTCATAACACTCAAATTTGTGGCCTTTGTCAAGCCTAAAATCAACTTATGTGTCCTTTCCTCAGATCTGTGTGCATTGGTTCCCGACTTCCGCTTCCCGCTCCCTCATTCCTATGTTCCCTTATCCTTGTCGAATCCTTCTATGTACATAGTTTAACACACATGAACTTTTCAATGACCTTAACTGATGTCGTGTTAGTTCGAATATGAAAGTCTTGTTGTGGTCTTTGATAACAGAAATATTTCCCCTAAGACGTTTTGACAATTCTGACGTCCATGAATAGGAAAGTGTATACCTTATTAAAGGACACAGCTTTGAGAAAATAAAGAACATATACTTTTGACGTCAATGACGCAGTATAGAATAGGACACATATATGAGGATAGGACACAGATTTGAGGCTGGACATTGATTTGTATATATCAGAAATAGTGTATCACATTTAGTTTTATTTTATTATTATTTGCGCAGTAAACAACGTAAGAATAATCCTTTAAACGTTTAATTTTGCTTTTTTACTTATTGGTAAATTGTATTTTCATACTATTGTTGTTTATTCGTTACGTCTGGTGTCTTTCTTTTTCTTTTCTTGTTATCAATATCCATTTACTTTTTTGAGAATACATTGCCCACTTTTGAAGGCCGTACGATGACCTATAGTTATCAACTTCTGCGTCATTTGGTCTCTGTTGGAGAGTTTTCTCATCTTCCTTTTGTTATAAACTTTTCTTTTTTTTTCTTAGTTACAATTTTATTCAGATTTTACTATTGACATCGCAATTCACGTGTCTTACGGTAATTTTTACGACATTTTTATATGAAATATATTCAAAAGTAAAGTACTGTAAATTCAGAAATTATTGCGTGCATTTATTATTGCGATTTTGTCATTTTAGACTAAAATGCGATTTTAATTTTTGCGATATTGAGAAAAATTCTGTTTAATTCATATAAAAAATTTCAAAATGCGAGTTTAAATTATTGCGATTATAATAACCCTGTCGCATTTTTTGCAATAATAAAAACATCGCAATAATTTCTGAATTTACAGTACATACATGTGTACAGCCATCGATACTAGAGAGTAGGAAGGAGCGATTTTAATTCAATTGCTTACTGACTTTGAGCACGCTTTCAATATTTGCAAACATTTTTTATATACATATTATGTTATTGCGATAAACATTTGAAGTAACAATGGTATACAGAAGAATACATAGTGTAGAAACAAACAAAGTTTAAAGATGTTTAATTATAAGTGGTTTAAGCTATGATCGTTTAAATTTTGAATTAATTTAACATTCGCGTAACTACCAAACAACATTCCACAATTTGTATCACTAATGTACAAATATTTTACATTTGATATTCTCATATTTCATCATTTAATTTAATATGTTTAGTACTGTATCATTCGTGGCTTCAGATACTGACTGTCTGAAGTCTCTAAAGTGACGTTTTTGATATATTAACCTCTCGAGACGTAACGCTCGGTGTATATAATGATAACTCAATAAAAGAAAAAAAGAAAAACATGGTGGTAAAAGCTTGTTTTCAGCGTTAAAAAAAAAATAATAATCAAACGCAAAACACTAATAACTTTTTTATCAAGTGGAACGTTAAAGCAAAGTTGAGGTAAATGTTTAGAACAGGTGGTCAATATGCCAGGGAGCGCTAGTGTGAAGGTACCATATTACTTCAAATGCATTTCAATTCAAATAAAATTATTGCATACCTTTAAAAAACAAATGATACTTTCTCCTTTAAACATGCTTTTGCAATTATCTTCATCGAGTATGCTCAGTACTAGAAGTGTTGAAAGCCAAAACATACGTAATGTTTGGGCATATTAAAAAAAGGTATCAAATTTAAACAGCCAAAACCGACTTCTTCCACTGATACAAAGATTTGGTTTGCAAGTTTGGCTGTACCTATAAAAAACTTATCTCAGACGGAATAGCACATCTTACATTTTACTGTGATGTTGTTTACCGAGCCCGGAAATTTATATACGATCCGGGTAAACTTATCAATACTTTAAATAAACTTATTCTAAAAGGTTACCATTCAACACTGTAATTAGATTTTTGAATATTGTTTTTATTGGTATAAATATTGATTTTGATCCGTAAATTAAAATCATACTAAATAGTTTTGTTATACACATATGCACTTTAACGGTACTACAATCTGTCGATACTTAAACTTAGTTTTATTTTGGCATTGCACAAGGTCATGTTTTTCTCTGACTGTTAATGGCATCTTTACACTTAATCCATTGGATGTTGGATGCGTACTGATTGATATTTTAGTCTTAGATACATGATTTTTATTAGTTGTTATTGGCTTTGAACTTGCTGTCAATAACTGCGAGTACTCTCAGATCTGTACTTGGTGTCCTTTTCGTTGTTAGGGATGAGGGATGGATAAAAATCCTTCCACGTCCGGTCTGTGTTTATGTGTGATGTTTTTCTGCTTTGTATCGATCTGATAAGTTAAAGCCTTTTTCAACTAATTTTTATAGTTTGTTCTTATGTTGTGCTGTTACACCACTGTCCAATGTAACAAACATGTTTAACCCCGCCACATTCTTTATGTGCCTGTCCCAAGTCAGGAGCCTGTAGTTCCGTGGTTGTTGTGGGTTCATGTCTGTCATATTTGTTTTTCGTAAATTGTTTTGTTATAAATTAGGCCGTTGGTTTTCTCAATTGAATTGTTTTATATTTTCCATGTCGGGGACTTTTATAGCCGACTATACGGTATGGGTTTTTTCATTGGTGAAGGCCGTACGGTTGCTTATAATTGCTTACATCCACTTTATTTGAACTTTGGTGGATAGTTGTCTCATTGGCAATCATACCTCATCTCCTTATTTTTACATTTAGTTCAATTTTTCCTTAAAAGAATCATTCTCCAAACATCTCTGAGGGTCTGGATGGGGGTCCTTCATTTCTGTTTTCCTTAATTTATTAGGTCATTTTTTTCTATTCTTTATATTTTTTGCCCATTATTTTCTATAATTCTTTATTTGTTTGCCCTATTTTTCTTTATAATTCTTTATTTGTTTTGCCATTTATTTTGAACATTTTGCCCATTAATCTCTTTTCTGTAAACCCCACCCAGACCCTCGTGTCTATTTTCACAAATATTTTAGCGCCTGTGTACCGTACCTCTTGTTGATTTTTAGATTTTAGATTTTACATCCAGTGTCGACCATTTCTAGGTGTTACTGCGTTTTGCCTTTTTATTTTGGATTTTCTGTTTCCCGTCTTTTTTAAACGATACAAGCACGATATGTGTTGTCACCAGAGAATGACAATGTTAAACTTCACTTAACATTTAGTCAAAGATGATAAGAAAAAAAATTGTTGCTAAGTAAAAATGCTTTATAGCAATTGAGTTGATTTATATACAGCATTTTCGCGAGAAACAAAATAACAGATACATAAATCGTTCCGAAAATACTTGACTTTTCTCTTTCATGTTAATGAATACATCGGTACAAATAGCAGAACACGTACATAAATAAATTCTTGTGAAGTCGGCAAAACGCAAAAAAAAAATGCTTAAGCGAAAATAAATGTTTCAACGAATATAATTCTCGGCATCTTATACATAAAAATGTCCTAGCCTTTTTATAGGAAATTAAGAAGATGTGGTATGATTGCCAATGAGACAACGCTCCACCAGAGACCAAATGTCGTAGAAGGTTA